CTCTCTCTCTCTCTCTCTCTCTCTCTCTCTCTCTCTCTCTCTCTCTCTCTCTCTCTCCACGCGCCTGGATCCCCGTTACCGGTGCATACCCTGTATAATTGTGCAATCAAGAAATAAAAAAAATGCATTTTATAGGGGATGAATAATATATTCATCATTCCTAATCCAAATTTCAAGATAACGTTAACCTTCTTTATTAAAAAATGTCAAATATCGTAAAAAAAGCTATTTTTTTAATATTAAACCTCAATAATCTTGGAAATCCGACGTGTTAGAATTTTTTCGCTTGCGGCATCGTTTTCAACATTCAAAAATCTATAAAAAAATACGTAGTTCGGTCCAAAGTAATTTTTTTACTGTAAACAGGCCTGGCAACTTCAGTAGGGTCGGTCTGGATCACCCCATACATACAAATTTCTAAACTACAGAATTCCATACATATCTCCATGGACGGCGAAGTTTGAAAAAGCAATTTAGTGCATGGTTTGTAGAATCAGAAATGTACATAAATTTACACTAAATAGTTATAGCATTTAAGGTTTGCTTCAACCAAAAATAGGAATTTTTACAGAGTATTTATTACAAAGTAAAAAGGTAAATTATGAGAAGATATGTTTGATAAATTAATAAAATAAACCATTCCATAATTTTTTAACGATATTATCATTAAATGATAGTCGTTAATGAACAATTTTTTCACTTCTATAGACAACAACTGTTATATATATTAACAATAAAATGGTAACAAAATTGTTATAGATTCAACAATATTTTTCTAGATATAGAGATTATGATAATTTTGTTTTGTTATTATAAAATAAGAAAAATTCTAAATTAATGACAATTGTTCAACAATAAATAGTGTTAAGAATTATAGAATAGAGCCTTAAATATTATTTATACATGAATAACATGGCAATAAATAAATGCTTTAATGATAATTTGAGTAAAGAATCAATAATTATCCTACCTAATTTTTTCTGCTAAGGAAACAGCACTTTCTAATAATAGCTTATTTTTCACTGGTGGTACCTTTTTTGCTTTCTTATCATAGTACATGCCAAAGGCAAAGTCTATAATACTATCGAAGATAAAATGCAGATGTATGATCATGCATCGAAAAAAATTCCAGCACCACTTTTTTGCAAGATGCGACATATCCTGGCATTGTGGAGAATCCTATATACAAATTATAGTATATTAAGATAGTATATTGTAAAAATGTTTATGTAACATTATAATATAAAGTTGTTTTTATACAAACTCATGATAAAAAAATAATAGATTTTGTCAGAGGCAAAACAAATTAGTACATTTAACATTTAAAAGTTAAGGTAATTATGCGTTTTGCGGATTCTCTCCGTGTTCAGATCCAATCTTGGAATTCCAACGTTGGAACGCAAACGTTTCATGAACCATGCAGTCTACTTCATCAGGGCGATCCAAGAATTGGCATTCCAAGAATGGATCTGAACACGGAGACAACCCGCGGAACGCATAATCTTTATATAGAAAGTACTCGTGGAAGCCTAAAGAATATTAGTTAAGGTAATTGTTGAGTTTAGTTTCTTCACCTCAGATGTTGATAAAATTAGGCTCATTCGACGTGTTTTTGCACGAAATGAACGAATCTGGCAAAAAAAAGTGTCGCTCTGTCCCGCGAACCGAGATATTCACTGTTAAAGTTGAAAGATATTCAGGTTAGGAAAACTGTCACATCGATGATATAGAGGTTACACAAATTCTGTTTTATAAATACAAACCTTAAAATACTTTACCTTAAAAACAAATTCTGACTTGAAAACAAATTATTTTCTATATAATTTTTGTTTTTACAATAGCAAATTTTGTTTTTAAAACAAAGAATTTTTGTTTTAAAACAAAATTTGTATTTTTAAAGCAAAAAGCAAAAAATCTAACCAAAACAAATTCTCTGATGTAAAAACAAAAATTATATCAAAAAATGATGTTTTTAAAGCAGAGAACTTGTGTAATTTATTGAAGCAGAAAACAGTTATTCTAGCCTCATTTATATGTTCTCATGTTCCTCTATGCCATCAATGTGACAGATTTCCTAACCTGAATATCTGTAAACTTCAATAATTAATATCTCGGTTCGCAGACAGAGCGACTTCTTTTTGCCAGATTCCTTCATTTTGTACAAAAATGCGTCGAACAAGCCTAATTTTATCAACATCGCAGATGATGAAGCTAAATTCAACAAATCATCTTTCGTAAAATCGATTTTCACAAATTATGAAAATTCTATGGCGATTTGAGTGCAAATTAGTATGAAGCTACATAATTATCGTAATTATATCTATATCATAGAAAGTCTTTGAATTTACCTTATTTTTTACGGAAGTGCACATAGTTTCGTGAAATCAGCGAAAAATATCAACAAAATTTATTTTAAATTATGTAGAATTGATCGAACACGTCGACACTCTCAAAATACGTAGCATGTAGATTTAAAAAATATATCACGTACATATATATATATATATATATATTCCTTTAAAACTTAATAATACACTTGTTTTTTGCTTGTTTACTTTCAAGTAAAAAAATTGCCCTCACAATGACACTTTTCGAACGTTAATTATGTCAAAATTACTGCGACTCATTCAGACTCAGTGGCTTAAGATGCTTTCCATTTAATGACACAAGTCGACACAAGTGTCGTTCTATCTTTGTCACTCTCTGAATGTCGACAAGGATAGAACGACGCTTATGCCGACTTGTGTCGACTTGTGTCATCAATTGGAAAGCACCCTTAGTTTACACCGAGGATTTGATCCGGGTCGGAATGTAAGAACCAACCAACTGCAGTCGAGCATTCCCTTGTCATTCGACTGTAACAGGGGAATGCTCGACTGCAGTTGGTTGATTCTTGTATTCTGACCCGGATCGAACCGTCGGTGTAAACTAGGCCAGTAGTGTTACCAAATCTCAGTCGCCAGAGCCGCGCAATGCCACGTACACAAAAGCCAAGCGTTTCAGGCGTAAGGGGCTCCGCACAATAAAAGGAACAAGGCACAGAGAACAAGAATTTCAACCTATCAGAAATCATGTATTGTGGAATACACACTGCGTATTCCAAAATCCAGAATCCAAATCAGAGCTCTGGGATATAATATCGAACTTATACCCCAAAGCTCTGATTGGACGGCTCGTTATTCCCTGTTGCCCGTGCCTATTGCCTGTGTCTATTGTGTTTCCAGCTTTATGCGCAACATTTCATCTTATCATCGACGAGATACTATTAAAGACCGTCAGACAAATTTTTGTGGCTATCAATGAGGCCCCAGGGATAATTGGAGAACGATGACGTTATAAGAGAATTAATAAAAATTGTGCGATTAATATAAATATTTCGATAATACATTATTAAATTCGTGATTTTTTTTTATTATATAAATGCTGTATAAATAAGTATGCATACTTTTAAGTATGCATGCTATATCTTATATATTGCCGAAAAATTACAAGTTTTTCTCTGCAGTTATCATTTCTATTGATAATCAAATTCGAATAAAAACATTAAAATCACAATTTTAAATAAAAATCGAGTATTATTAAATTTTAAACATATATGTATACATGTCTACAAAACTAATAAATCATGAAATTAGTACTGTATTATTAGTTTCTTAATCTTAATCACTTAAATTTTAACAAGCACGCGAATTTTCATAAGCGCCGATCGTCTTTATAACAATATCTCGTCAATGACCACATTAATTCCACCATAGTACTATCGACATCGATCAAGTTCGGCTATCAGCATTCATTTTAACGTTTTACGAAAGTTTCCAAGTTTTTTATTAATAATTCTCGCTATCTGTTGCTAATCGACTGTAAAAAACAACTTTTCACAAGAACCAAATTTTCAATATTTCTAATAGATTACAGATTTCTTGCAATGTGTGTACACATAATCAGTTACATACATCATACATCCGATAACGTGTGATATGATGCTAATAATTGTATAATTAATAAATTCATTATAAGTCTGTTTTCTTTCTTTTGAGAATTGGAAATGTGAACATAACTGCATCGATCTTCGTTCACATTCTGCTTTGTTTTATCGAATCAGAGAATCCTCTCGTAGAATAAGAGATACGCTTGACTTTGTAACACTGTATTTTCATCTACCTCTGATACCCTAGAATAGATACAATAAATGTAGAATAAACAGAATAGATATCAAAAATTACAATAAATGTCAAATAGCGATGAAACAAATAGTGTAATATAATTATACTAGTGATTACTCATATTACACATGAAATAAATTAGCAAACAAGTGTAATAATTTTTACTACATTCTCATGACAAGAAACAATATATTGTATGCAACATCAATTTTTTATGAGTATGAGATTTGTGCTTAGAGAGAAAATTACGTTTAATTTTCTAAACAAAAAAGTAACTTCTGGAATTAATTTAATAATCTCCTGTCTAGCTCATGATATTAATTTTGTTATATGTATATATATATATCTTTTTTGTGTTTTCTGATAAATATGTTATAATAACAAGGATCTTACCGAGAATCTGATACATAATACCATTTCCCAGGTGGTGGTTCCACAATGGATATACCTTTCGCTGATGCTTCTTCCTCATCTGAATCTGAACTACTCGACTCATTATTCACTTTAGGATCTTTATCCTTTGGAAGAAACTTCCATCGAGGATCATCTGGTGATAGCGGCAGTCTCGTCTAACAGGATAATAAAGTAAGGATTCAATAAGTGACAACAATTTTTCAAATTTATTATGCCACAATCACATATTTTTTTACAAAGAAAGATCATCAGAAGTAAAGTAATGGAAACATTTAATATTTTTGTACTTTTTCTTTGACTTTTTAGTTTTTATTGCAATATGGTTGCAACAACTTTAATAAATTCTTCCAATATAATTATATAAATAAAAAGATAAATTCATATAAAAATACGAGGTTCTAACATATTTTTATTTAAAGTTATTTTCAATTCACATTCTTATTCATATTTTTTGAGAAATAAGTTCATTGTCTTCTCTTTTTATAAAATCTCAAATATCCCATGTTAAAGTGCGAAAGTTTCAAAATCTGAATATAATCTACCTTGACATAAGCAACGTAGTGACCACCATGAACAGTGCCACTGTGCTCGACGACCCCATAAAGTGCATAAAGTCGAGATTTTTTGTGATCTGTGCAAACCGGTGCCAAGTCCAATAATATCGGAAACGACACATGCTTGAAAACCTTCCGAAAACCGATTCTCTGCGTTTGAAATCTTTTCAAATGCAGTATTAATATCGGGGGTACTTGAGAGATGAGGTATTGCTTTGTACTCGAAGTGCATATCACCTTCGACGAACCTTCCTGAGTCTGAGAAAAAAAAGAAAAGTGAAAATGAAATGGTATTATTCTCATTCACATAAGGAGATAAAAAAGAAAATGTTATAACAGTTCTCACATATTTCTCGAATGTACCAAGTTTCTTTAGAGATCTTGAGAAGGATCACTTTCTTTTCTTTTTGAGTTACCTTCTTCTCACGAGCTGTGCATGCCTCGCATACGACTTTGTTACTTCCCGTCATTAGTTCTAGCGCGGTGAATTGATTCAAGCACGATTCCACGGAACATTCACCCTCCTTGGTTGTGTACCTGCCAGGTGATTGATGCCCGGCGATTCCCAGCCTAGACATTCCCGTCACTATGTCACCAAGCTCGTTATATACATCTTGCTCTTCGGGATCATCTCCGTTCGAAGTTCCGTTATTATATTTCCTTCTACCATATTTCGATAAAGTAGTAGCCATCCATGTCTCAACACCATCCAATCTGTGAAAATATCACACTTAATTCAAAGAAGAATGTAGTTAGGGCCATTTTTCGAGCAAAAATGAAACAGTTCTGAGATGTATAAATTACACATCATATTAAACGGCTACTGCCGAAAAACAGCCTTAACTTAACATCCTCCTTTCAAATATCTAAAAAGATCTTCGAAAATACAATGTTTAATATTTTTTTATCGCCTATGTGTGTAATTTCTATAATTTTGAATCTAAAATTTTTTTAATACACATATTCAAAAGAAAGAAATCAAGTACTAATTTTTTGTCATACAAATAGTACATTACGATACAAGTGCGCAAAGTAGGTGTTTCCCACACGAGGGAAGTTTGTCGCCCGAGCGAAGCGAGGGTGACAAAAAAGCGAGTGTGGGAACACCTACGCAGCGCACGAGTATCGTATACTATTTTTCCTACTATCGTGCTCAAAGTTCGATTTTGCACACGCATTTGCGCAAAGTATCACTTTCCCATACTTGTAGTTTAGCGTGCGGGAAAGTGATACTTTGCGCACGCAAATGCGTGTGCAAAATCGAACTTTGCGCACGATAGTAGGAAAAACATATTAAAGAGTTAAAATGTAAAAAATCCAGGATTTAAGAATCGCAAAAATCAATATTCAATAAGCAATTTTAATAAGATTAAGCTTTCAAGAAGCTGGAAAAATTAAAAAATTTTTTATGTTTAAACATCTGAATATCTGACCTTTCCGCAATTTTTTCGTTATTGACAGGACTAGTGGGACTCCCCTTAGAAGCAGCAGAGCTACTTAGGCTTGCGGTGGGTATCTTGGGGCTTGTGATATCAGAGTTGACGATTATGGAGCTGGTCAATGCCGTGGCCAACACTTCGTTCTCGGAGCTGATGGTACCGATGTTCTTGTCAGTTTTCTCGAACGGCATCCTGATTTGAGTCAAGTCCGTCATCGACACATCGGTTGGATTAGGACTAGTTAACGCGTTAATGTTCACTGGATGTCTAACTTGTGCTGGGTCCAAATTACTGTTGTCCAGATTACTGTCCTCAGGGCTGATTGTACTATTAAAATCGTTGTTTGGATGATGATAATGGTCAGCAGGAGATACAGGACTGGTGACGGCGGATGCTTTCTCAGAGCTATAACCAGATTCTCCAATCTCGGGATGAGAATTGTCCATTTCAATATTGTCTTCCACGTCGGCGTCGCTCTCTTCTAAAAATAAAAAAAATTTTTATATAACTTTGTTTACTAGAAGATGAATTTTGAAAATGGGAAAATGTCTTCCTTTTGGAACATTTGTATAGCGCATAAGAAAGATCCAAATTGTTATAAATAGCTTCTCTATATCTATGGCAAAAGAAAAAGAGCTATACCTGATTTCAAAACATTATCATTGTTTTCTTCCGCGGGATTATTTAGATCCATTAACGTGTTAGAATTGTTATAATTCTCGTGCCTTTTATTTTTTCGGTTCTTCCTGGCTGCCTTTTTCTCCTTCTTCAACTGCTTCCATGGCGTATCCTCCGATTTCCAAATCTCCGTCTGACTATCATGTTGTTGAATGTTCATCATGTCAAAAGCATCCTCAAATTCGCTATTCTTCCTTCTATATATCAAAATTATCATATACTATTTTAGAAGTTAATAAAATTAATTATTGTAACCTGTAAAAAATAAATAAGTTTTTTTCTTTACTTTAAAAGTGGAGGCTGTGGTTTATCCGCAGTGACGGGTAGACTCAAGTCTAGAAATGGCTCGGTCCGTTGCGACGAATGATGACAATCCAGGCACTCTAGAGTAGATACTAACACGCCGCGAAATACTACTTCTGGTCCTAACAGCCTCGTACTGGCCTGATTGCCATAGAATTTTACGCGAGATTTCAGACTCTTTTCCACACAATCTGGCTTTGTTTTTCCGCTCAGGCCGACCTCCTTTAGAATTATGCTCTGGTATCTCTGCAGAGCGACATACACAATTTTAATTTGCTTTGAAGATTAACCATTACATCATATTGAATACACAAATTAAGAACTCGTTTTAGCACTAAATATAACATTGCTTTTAAAATATTGATTTCCTACGCTTTTTCTAAAAAAAATCTACCTGAAGTATAATGTAATATAAACATAATATAAAGGTCTAAAGAATATGTGTATAAATCTAAGTATGAAATACAAATCTAACGAAAAACAACAGTTATAGAATTTTAAGTGTAATGGGATCTTTATTGTAGCACATTAATATCTGCACGAAGTAAAATCTTAATATAAGTTTTCTTTCATTTTTTAAATATACTCTTTGTGGCCATTAAAAAATAAGAATGGTTTTCATGAACAGAAAAAAAGGAGGGAATAAAAATGGCAAATTTTTGCTGGATATATTTAAAACCTATACACTTATCATGTTGAAAGTCCATACATTTATGAAAGAAAGTTTATTTACAAGCTTCCAAAAATAATAAACGATTGTTTGAATGCTTTGCAAAAACTTATTTTATTTCTAATAAACAATAATAAATTTCATAACTAACGATGTGTTTACATTTAACATATATTGGACCATTAAATATTTAAGAATATAATACTAGGAAAATCTATGAATATTCCATCGAAATACCAAAATATATCGAAAAAAAAATTAAAAGATATTTAAGAGCACATTTTTACTTACTCTGAGATCTTCATTTCGAACTATTTCCAATAAGTGTCGAAGAAACTCATGTGAATCATGCTGCCCTCCATCCACGCATTGCGTAGTCTTTTTCCTGAGCTTACAGAGAAGATTCAAAGGAGTATAAGTTTGATGACCGTTCGTGTTTTGCATTTTCGACAGCGTTTCACAGAGAATTGATGTGAAACTGCCCCATCGCTCCAAGGTCCCCTCGATTGGTGGCTGTAAAACAAATAAAGAAAATAATTAGCTATTTGACGAAGAAAATGCAAAATTTCAGTTATTTCTTATATCTCTAACGATATTGATATATTTTTCTTATATAAATCTTTAACAACATTGACATATCTTCTTATTTTGTCAATTTAATTGATTAGATGATTAAATTTGACTTTGTTAGTTTATCAAACATAAATTCAAACAATTCACTTAACAATGAAATCGGCTTATTTTACTTGTATTCAATAAATACTCGTTTTTTTTTGTAAATCATATTGCTTCAAATATTAACAATAATAATAATAATAATAACTTTATTGAGTGCAGGGGTACAAAACACAAATGTACAGCTAATAATAATTTGAGCTTTATGTATACAAGTATTTGTAACAAAGATTATAACGTAATATAAACAAATTGTAGTTGAATTAGGTGCAGTTGATTTAGTTTCAGTACAAAGAAAACAATGATATATTACATAGCTCAAAGTAATTAATCGCAAATTAACATAAAGTGATTTGCTATTATAACATGACACACCGTGTGTGTGTGTGCGTGTATTAATTAGCTATTAGCAGATCATATAAGAAGTATATACAATAGTACCATTATATCAACTTTTTATAGTAATGTGTTATCCCAGAACGAAATTTAGACAGATTTAGTTCAGAGTGTAAAGCCGATGGAAGAGCATTAAAAAATGTTACTGCAGTATATGAGAAGGCATTTTGAAATTTTGACATGTGATGAGTGGGACATGAAAGTTCATATTGCTGGCGAATATTTGGAAGAGAACCTATTTGAATGAGAATCCGGATTAAAACATATTAATTCACAAAAATATCTGGGGGTATTAGTACGGAGAATACTGTAGGTTAAACAACAAATGAATTATAAAACATTGAAAGATGTTTGATCATCCAGAAAAGGAGTAATATGATCATATTTTCTAATACCATAAGAAAAACGAAGACAAGAATTTTAAACTACTTCGACGAAGACAAATTTAATTGAGACAAAAAATATATACAACATCAGCATAGTCGAACAATGATACAACAAGATTGCATATAACATGTAGTTTTTGTGAGACGGATAGATGTGTGGTGTTATTTGTTTAGAGGTTTCTCGTCTTCCAAGAAATGACGCAGTACCACAATTTGCTTATTTCCAGTTATCTTGAGATTAATTTACATTTTCGACACTGTTACTGCTGTAGTGAAATTGTTTCTTCCCATAGAAAAATTGCTAATATCACATATGCAGCACACATATGCATAAATCTAAGAAGCAAATCTGGATCTTTTGCTTAACAGGCAACTGTTGTAACATTAAACAATCCAGCATCCCACAACGATCTTGAGATAATAAAAGACAATTTTGATGAGAGGTAAACATACCAGTTCCACTTCTTCCTCAGCATCGACAGGTTTGTGCTTTCCACCTGGTAAGACAAATTTCTGCCCAGGTATACGTAGGTCATCCAGCACTTTCACCAAGTAAGGTGTTTGCGCTAAACATTGAAGTACAGCATTGAAGAAACACGTGTTTCCTAGATTTGCTAAGCCCTATAATGCATAATTAAAAAATTTCTTAATTAAAGTAAATATTTTTAACACTATTATACAATTTATCTCCACATTATTGCATTATACGTTAAAAAAGAAATTGTAAAATCATGGAAAGAAGGACTAAGAAGAGCAACCTGAAATTAAATTATACAAAAAAGTATCGTATAATTCACATACCCCAACTTTAGGAAGATTATTCAATGTTTTATGTTCTTTCTCCTGTACATCGATTATCGTCTCTTTTTGGCACTGAATCGTTGGAATTTTCGATTGAGATATTTGTGGTATATTTACATATTTTTTGATAAACTCTACAGTTTCCAGGAGTTTTTTCCTGAAAAGCAAAATAAATAAATATATACATTTGTAAACATGCTTTTTATTAGGTGTATGCAAATATAAATAATTATTTTTTATAAAATTTTATATTTATATTTAATTGAAACATACAGGCATAGTTCAATTATATGAAAGTAATCTATTTTTTTTGCTATTATATTATTTTTCAATATTTTTCTCAACCTTTCAGGCAAATTATAGGCTGATATTCATAAGTTAATATTTCATGTGTCATATGACGAAGCAGTTGATTGACTGTAAGACAGACAGGTTCTCGAATCTTTCTATCCTATAGCTAGTCAATATGCTAAAAAAATGTATCATATGGATTAATCGATGAATTTGTAATAACTCTCGCGATAATCGCTTGTTCACATTCTTTGTATTATTTTGTGCTCCGCGACTCGATAACTTCTGATTATAACGAGCTTATATTCGCACCGAGATTACTGGTTGTAACTACGGAATTGCACACTTGAGTAAATTCTTGTAGTTGTTCTCATTTAAAATATCAAATATATGTTTGTCATTTTCTTACTATTAAAGGAAGTAATTCTTATTTGTTCTCTCGCCTTTCGATTCACTCCCGCTTCGAATAACCCACCCCCGCCGTCCGTGCGGGACTGAGCAGTCGGCTGCCGTCCGTAGCATTAAAGAAATATTGAGAATAATTATTCGAGAGAGCGGATACGTTCGCTCGTGCCTGGCGCCTAACTTACGTTAAGAGAGAATTCGCGATAATTCAGTGAGTAGCTACCAACTTAGAATATCAGATTAAAATCATTGGCTGTCGAATTGCGATAACAAAAAAGCGACGAAGTTGTGCCGTCGGTCGAGATTATGGTCACAAATTACAGAAAAATTTCCGTGAAATATCATCCATTGTCTGTTCTTACTTCAAGGGCGTTTCAAATAATATAACTGGCTTATAATATCTTAATCTTAAATATAAAAACCGACTATGAATACCGACCATAGATTTCAGTACGATAGAAAGATTAGTCTTTGCTTGCAATAAATTCATCAATAATCTGGAAACGATTATTTCAAAAGTTGAAGAAATTTGTAGAAAGAATACCACGATTGATTAAACATATTTTATTAGTGAAAGGTGGTTTTTTATGAGAAGTTTGACAAACAAAATAACTATATTTCATTTTTACTAAAATAGATAAATTTGTTTTAAGTGTTTTACAGCTAAATGTCTATCTCATTTAATGTAGATACTGAATCAGGGTATTCTGATATCTGGCTAATCAATTCAAGGATAATTCTAGGACATTTGAGGTCAAAATCTTGGTTTTTTCAAATCAATTAATTTTCATTGATTCGCGCAAATATTATGTCTTTTTATATTCAAATTTTAGAATTCCATGACGAATTAATTAAAGTGCAAATAAATTTGAAACAATTACTTCATGCTTTATAAATAATAAATAAACATTCAACGCAAACGATTTTATAATTATAGACATTAAATTCAAATTTTCTATCAATAACTTGTCTTATTGTATCTTTAGGAAAGTGTTTATATCCAAACACAACTTTTTTTTTTATTAACATATCACAAACATCACTTCATAAACTTATTAATTAATTAACGTTTTATTAAGGGCCTGCGCACAATAGAGGATCTATTGGTTGATATCACACGCTCTACCAATAGGAGAGCGCAAAACGCCATTAATCCAACCCAGGTTGGTGCAAACCCGGTCGGGCCGAAAACGCTATAATTCTTGTTCCTCTATTGTGCGCAGGTCCTAAGTTATTAGTCTAATTTTCAATGTACTTGCTTTTAAAGCTTCATCTACAATGATCATAAAATTCATCATTACCAACATAGTTCTTGCACATACGCAGGAAATATTTCTAATTTCTTTCTTTTTTCATGATTCAATTTTTTTAAATAAAAGAATAACAAAAATTCCAGGTCATTCCTGAAATTATACAGGTATTTCAGGAGTTTTTCAAGATATGTTAAATTCCAGGATAATTCTAGAATTCAAGGACATTTAAGAATTGCTGGATATTCTGTTGAATTTTGGTGGTATCCAGAAACGTTTGATAGTGTACGTTTGGATAATAAATATTGAATTTTTTTCATAAAAAATATTCAATAATTTATTTCTACACCTAATATATTAAAACAGTTTATTATTTAGCTCACCTACTGTTAGGATGAACTTCAATTTCACACTGATAGCACCAAACACTCCAATGATGAGAATCCATCACCATACAATGGCAGTCGCTATGAGGCTTCCTATAATGCTCAAAGGCGTGCTGCTTTTCCTCTTTACTGCAGCCTTGTTCTCCACATTGCAAGCAAATCCACAGGAGCTTTGAAATATTACACTGCAAATTTAAATAATTTTACATTAGATTTCAATACCTAGTATACCGTTTTAATTAAATAATTATGTTTCCAATATCATTTACAATCTCCTCTGCTGTCTTGAGGTCCATCTCCAGTTTCTTGCACATGGAACATTTGCTTAATATACCAGTCTTTTTTAGATTTTTTTTTACTTTGTTCAGGTTAATGGCCTTTGCTATGTGCGGACATTTTGCACCTACTAACAGTCAATTAATATTACTCCTATAATAAAATATAAGTTTAATTTAAATGTCTTTTTACAGATTTTATAAATAGACATTTTTGAATGTGTTAAATTAAAAAATTTGTTTTTAAATTATTAAGTTTTTAAATTATTAATTGTTAAATCTCTCTCGACTTTGAAATTTTTAAATTTGTATTGCTTTGTGTTGCTAAATTTCTAACTGCTCAATTTGCTACTAACTCTATTTTGAGAATTCAAAGATATCCCTAGGGATTAGAGGAACCGAAATATAAAAAATTAAAAATTAAAAAATAAGGAAGCTCGACAGTCCAAAATAATTTCGAACATATCAGTAACTCTGGGAGGCACGCGTTTCTAACCTGAGCTCGTCTCCTCACAAGACTCTGTGGAGGCCTCACTGACGTCGGGATTCGCGTCCGGTTGCCTGTTCCGCTTTTTACTCATCTCGCCACGCTACTCGTGAACGTTCTCGTCGTCGCGTGTGCGCGTCCGTGCTCACCACTCCACAGATCACCTCACTTGTCAGTGCTTGTCAGTCAAACCCTTATTGTGACCTGACGTTTGCGTGCGCAAAAAAAACCATGTGGAAACCAGGGCTGCGTTCTACTTAAAGGTACCTTTTCATGTTGACGTTCGACACTCATTTTCAGCGTCTTAAAATAAGTCACGTGATCAATATTGACGCTTGATAATGGCTGCGTTCAGCAGAAAAAGCAGCTATGCAACTGTTGTAAAACTCTTGAATATAATTGGTTCATACATTTAGATCCAATGAAGAACTAAGGGCAAGACCAATCATATTGAAGAATTTTACAACAGTTGCAAAGCTGCTTTTCTGCTGAACGCAGCCAATGTGCGTCGTACGACGCAAATCGAATGCAGTATGAATTCAGCACATCACGTGACTTATTTTGACGCCGAAAATGAGCGTCGAACGTGGGCATGACAAGGCACCTTTAAGCCTTAGTCCGGATCTATAGGTGTTTTAAGCCTTAAGCCGTAAGAAATTGACCAATTACCCCGGATCTACAATAGGGTTTTAAGC